GGCAGGACTTAAAGCTTTGTCAGTCTCCTGAGTGGTGGGATTATAGCATGCCACGCCATTCCTGGCTCTTTGGCCTTTTAAAATCTTTTATTTTGAGACAGGGTCTCAAAATTTATTTTATTTTTTGGTGCTGGGAATTGAATCCAGGACTTCGCACATGCTTGGCAAGTGCTCTGTTGCTGAGCTACATCTTCCAGTGTGATGGTTCGGCTTTTATTTCTCCTAGAAATAGTTTTTTTTCTTTTGACTTCATTTTTGGAACTATACTTGTAACCTCCAGTAACTTTCTACCATTTCCTTTCCTTGGTTTTATTCTGCTCTTTTATAATTTCTTTCTGTGTTTTGTTTTTTGAGAGAGAGAGTCTCACTCTATAATGCTGGCTGGGCTTGAACTCATTATGAAGCCCAGGTTGGCCTTGAACTCACAGAGAGTTTCCTGTCTGCCACCTGAGTGTTGTTGTGTTTCATCACACCTGGTTTACAATAACATTTTAAATTGAGTACTAAGCAGGTTAATTTTGTGCCTCCCCCCCCCCTCTTTTCCTGTTTCTTTTACTATATGCGCATCCTCCTTTTTATTTGTAAAACTTTATTATGATTTCTTAAGCATGGTATTAGTGGTGCTTTGAAAAGTTTCTGTGTGTAATTACTTGGGTTATTTTTCTGGCTTGATTGCTAACATTATTTTGGCAAAAAGATATTATATAGTTTTGAAAATTATGTTCTTTACTTTTGGCCTGCTATGTTCTTTTTCTGTAGTAGTGCTTTTTATTGTTTGTGTCTCTTCCCAACTCTTATGCTGACATTGTTATATCTTTTAATTCACACTTGTTTTTGTGAACTGCCAATGACCTACTTATTATGTGTGTGTAATCAGTGATTCTGTAGGCTTACCTATGCATTTGTCATTTTATTTATTTATCATTTCTTCTTCAAGCTCAGATCTTCCACTTGGGGGAACATTTTTCTGAGTAAAGCATATTCTTTAGAACTTTCTTTAGGGCAAGTCGGATAATTGACAAAAATAGTATATGCTTGGTTTTTGTGACTTAAATACTATCTTGTGCCTGATGATTGAGAAAGAGATTTTATTTTTGGTATATGGTTATTTCATCTTAGCATAGTCTTCTCTCACTCCCACCCCACCTTTTCAGTATCAAGTGTTGAACCTAAAACCTTTGCACTGAACTGCATCTCCAGCACCACCTTGCCCCATTCTTTAAATTTTTGAGAAATGATTTTGCTTTTGTTGCCTTTGCCTGTCTCAAAGTTGTAATCTTTAGCCTCCCTGATACTTTCCATTTTAAGATATCAACCCTCAGTCTAATTTTTATTCTTTTGTGGATAATCTGAATTTTTTCTACGCTACCTCCAGTATCTTCTTTTTCTTTGGGTTTATTTTGATGCTGATGTATTGGAGTGTGGGTTTTTGATTTTAAATCTGTCCGGCATGAGTTTATTGAGCTTCTTAATGTAGGATTAAGACTTTTTCATGAATTCCAAGCCATTATCAACCCCCAAACCCAGTGCTGGGGATTGAATCCAGGGAAAGTCCTGTCCATTGAGCTATCTCTTCTTCCCACTCAACCCCTTTATTTTTAAAAAAACAAAACCCTTAGGGCTGGCCAGACGGCTCAGCGATGGCAAATGAGACTGGGTGTGGTGGCATGCCTGTAATCCCAGAGCTTGGTAGGTTGAAAATAGGAGGATCACTATGAGTCCATTTTGTGTGGTGAGACCCTGTAGACTGTGCTAAATACATTAAAACAACAGCAACAACAACAAAACCCCCTTGAGATATAAAATCTAATCATTCTTTTTTTCTTTTCTGACAGTTTGTGTGTGTGTGTGTGTGTGTGTGTGTGTGTCTGCCTCATCCCGCCCTGGGGCTGGGGCTGGCATGTCATTGGTGCCCAGGATTGAATTGTGGTCCCTGTGGTTTGCCTCAGCTTGCCTAAGCACAGGCGCTTTAGACTGCTAAGCTATCTCACCAGCCTAGTCTGATCATTCTTTTTTTTAAATTTTATTTATTTATTTATTTATTTATTTATTTATTAGAGAGAGAGAGAGAGAGAGAGAGAGAGAGAGAGAGAGAGAGAGAGTGGGGTGTGTGTGTGTGGCCAGCTCAGCCCACCAGGGGGCAGGGCTGGCTGGCATGTGGTGCTGGGGGATCGAACCGCGGTCCCTGATGCTTTGCTAAGCTTGTTCTAAGTAGGTGCTTTAGACCACTGAGCCATCTCTCCAGCCCCATGATCATTCTTATCATCTGTGTTTTTTGCTTTTCTTTTTTAAAAATATTTTTACTAGTACATATTTGTGTTACATAATGATTATATTCATAGTAGGGAGTTGGTATGTTTACCTAAGGCATCTTAATTCTTTTTTAGATTCCCTTCTCTTCCCCTCTTCCCTTCTCCCTCTATCTTTTGGCTCTCTGCCCATTTGTAAACATTTATCTCCCTGTTTGCTGTCATTTAGCTTTTATTTTGTTCTTTATTTACACTTTGGTTTAAAAGAAACCATGTGGTAGTTAAGCTTATGTGTCTGACTTATTTTACTTAACATGGTTTTATACTTCTTTCTTAGTTTTTAGTCTTTTGAACTTCATTCCTAGCTTACATTTCTCATCCGTTTAATCTGCTGTCAAATCAATCTTCAATTTCAATAATTATGTTCCTGGAATTTGTATTTGGCTCTTTCTCAAATTTGCCCAGTCATGTTTTTAATAGTCCACTTTACTGAATTATACTACATTTTTCTCATATATTTGACAATTCTATTGTGTTTTTGTGGGTCTCATTTTACTAAATTTCTCAATGTATTGTATTATGTGTACAATATAGTAAATACCCAACATGATAATTAGAGGTAATAAAGTACATTATGTGACCGGTATGAGATGCAGTATAGTTATTGGCAGTAATTAAATGTATGACTGTTATGAAATGAACAGAAACTAAATTATATTGAGGGATAGATATAAAAGACAGCTAGAGTAAACAAAGTAGCAAATTAGAGCTGGATAGAAATAGATTAGCAGGATGGACCTGGTGGTGTACATCTATAATCCCAGCACTCAAGGTTGAGGCAGGAGATCACTGTGAGATTGATGGCAGCCCAGGCTACAAAGTGAGTTCAAGGCTAGCTTGAACTACATAGTGCAACCCAGGAACAGGTTAACAGTGGTTTATCATATGTTAAACCATATGTTTCATATTATTTCAGTAAACATTGCAATTAAATTAAATTTGGGAAAATTAATGTGAAGTTAATGTAAAAAAAATTTAATAGTTGGAGCCAGGCATGGTAGTGTACCCCTGTAATCCCCGCATTCAGGGGACAGAGGCAGGAGGATCTCAGCAAGTTTGAGTCCAGCCTGGACTACAAAGTAAGCTCAAGGCCAGCCTGAACTTCATAGTGAGGTTCTATCTCAAAAAAAAGTTGTGGAAGATTTTTGTTTGTGTGTTTATTTGTTAATTTGTTTTTAGCCTTTCAATTATAATTTAATCGTAGGATTGTATAGGTAGGAAGAATGAAATGTGATTTTTCTGAAGATCGTTTATTCTTCAGTGGGGATTTTTATTTTTATTCATTTTTTGATATTTTTTATATATTTATTGCAGAGTCTACAGGGACTTCCTACACAAATCAGACTCAGTGATCCTTCCTGTTTTTCAGCCTCCCAAGTACTGGGATTAGTCTCAATCATGTGTCTCAGTGCAGCCTGGGGGTGGAGCTGACACACAGGCTGGGGATTGAACCCCTACCCCACATCTGCCTAAGCAGGCGCTTTAATCCACTGAGCTATCTGGCCGGCTCTTTCAGTGGGGATTTTAAAAGGAGCCAGCCTCTCTGAACAATTAAGAAAGGGCATCATTGAAGAATATATTCCCATAAAAATGACATCAGGATTTCAAGGATATTCTTTTTGCTTATAAGAGACAGCAAGATCCAAGTAAGAGACTTGTAGCTCCAAAGTGGAAATGCTCTTACAGACTGCTTTCTTAGTATAAGTTGCATCTTTTCATATGAGCATGGTCTGATTTAACAGAAGAAAGAAGTTTGACTATCACTTTTATTTGGTAGTACAGATATATTTTTTTTCCTGTAGACTTTGTACTAGACTTCACTTATCATTACCTGATGCTCTTTTTATCTTCTTATGAGGGAAATGTAGCCCCTATTCATTCATATGGGTATTTGTTGAACATTTATTGTATTTCAAGCACTGGTTAGGTGGTGAAATGAAAGTAGAAGGCAAAGCCACAAGTCCCTGCTTTATTTCACTAATAATAAGAGGTAGAAAAAAAAAGTGATAGTTACTGAACATTTATAGTTATAATGTGCTTTATAACTTTTAGTTCTTTCGAAAGACTATTTGATAGTATTGCTGTCCCTACAGTACATATAAGTGGTAGATACTTGCTTAGGATTGAGGAAAGACCTCAGAAAAGGTCCTATACTCACATCACCTGTAGATTGTGATCTTGAGGCTCAGTACAGATAGACTTCTGCCTTGTACACAATTGCATACAGGAAGGGTTTGGTCCTGCTTGACTGGAGTGCCATAAGGTTGGTGGTTGGTGTGCCACGGTGTTAAGAGCTAAGCTTCTAGCTCTTTTCTACCATATAGTTCCCACCAGACCCTAACATATACTGTATGTAGCTGTGTTTTTCCAACGCCAACAGAGGTCTTTGTGATGGAGGTATGTCTGGTACCTTCATTGAACTCGATTTTTCTTACTGTTTCACTTTAAATTTTTACTTAAAATATGGATGTTTCCCCTTTGTTTTGTGTCTGTCTTGGGATGATTTGTGGTGTTTAGATATTACTTAAATCTGATTGTTTTTCTTTGAGCCCTTGGGTTTATGAACCCTTGTAGATTAAATGATTTCCCCACAAAGTCAGCAAGCATTTTGTGTACGTGTTATCTCTGCTGATTAATTATGGGTGGGTGACATGCAGCAGATGTCTGACTCTTCCTTTCTGGGTCTCTTAGCAACAGCTTGAAGAAGAAGCAGCTAAACCTCCTGAGCCTGAGAAGCCTGTGTCCCCTCCTCCTGTGGAGCAGAAACACCGCAGTATTGTCCAAATTATTTATGATGAAAATCGGGTAAGCTTACATCATCTTGACAGCATGGACCTTTAATCCCACCTAACTCTTGCTTGCCTTTTGTAGTTCTGAATATGTTCCATCGTAATTATGTTAAAGCCTGACTCCTTGCAGGGACCCAGGTTCAATCCATAGTACCTCATGCCTTGCCGGCCCTGCCCCCTCAACTGACTTTGTATGGTGATGCGTACCTGTAATCCCAGCTCTGTGGAGTCTGAAAACAGGAGGATCACTATGAGTCTGAGCTGGGTAGTGAGACCCTGTACCAGTTATGTTAAAAAAAATAAAAAGCCTGACTTCTGTTTTATGTTTTATATAAATAATATTTGAATTTTTCTAGGTCAGTGTTTTATTTTATAAATACTGAGAGGCAGTTGGCATAGCATACAAATTAGCCATTTTTACTTCTTGAGGATCATGTAATACCAAGTCCTGACAAAGTATCAGTAAAGATAGGCTATTGGAAGTAGAAATGAACTCTCTTACCAGTTTCAGAGTTGATAGGCTGTGGTTGAACTTAAGGTATGTATGTTTATTTATACATTCAAGGGTTTTATTTTTTTTTCTTCCTCGAATGCCTTCAGGGCACTTTTGGCCAGCGAGAGAGTTGTGAGGTTCGAACTCCAGGAACCTGAGGCTGACAGCTTTGTGGAAGCAGCCACTTAAAGGACTGAGCTAGGGCCAGGCCCCCTATTTATACATTCAAGATAGACTGTGACCTCTAGGTAGATTCTGCTTATTTCTTTTAAATAAGATAAAGTATTGAGGCTGGCCTTGAACTGACTATGTAGCCCAAGATGGCCTCAGTAATACTCCTACCTTAGCCTCCTGAGTATTGGGATTACAGGCATGTGCTACCATACCTGGCTTGCACTTTGATTTTTATTAAAATATTTTCTGCTTTCATAGTCTTTTGTTTTGTTTCGTTTTTGTACCAAGGATGGAACTCAGAACCTTGAGCTTGCCAGGCAGGTTCTTGTGCCACTGAGCTATCTCTCCAGGGATGTACCACCATATTTAGCCCAGCCTCAATTGCTGTCTCAGCGCACCCCGGGGCCAGGGCTGGCATGGCTCTGGGGACAGGACCGGCATGACAGGCCCAGGGATGGAACTCCCAGCCCCTAAGCCTGCTTGCAGGCGCTTTAATCCACTGAGCTGTTTGGCTGGCCCTACTTTGAATGAGTTTTATTTCTTTCATTATTATTATTATTATTATTATTTATTTATTTATTTTTGCAGAACTGGGGATTGAATTCAGGTCCTTGTGCTTGCCAGGGAAGCACTTATTCCACTGAGCCATCTCCCCAGCCCCTCTTTTTATTATTATTATTATTTATTATTATTTATTTATTTATTTATTTATTTTTATTTTTTGGCAGAACTGGGGCTTGAACTCAGGCCCTTACGCTTGCTAGGGAAGTGCTTATTCCACTGAGCCATCTCCCTGGCCCCTTGAATGAGTTTTAAAATGAACCTTCCCTTACAGATTTAAACAGTTCCACTGGATGTGGTGACACACCTCTGGTCCCAGCACTTGGTCCCACACTAAGGCATGAGGATTGCTGTGAGTTTGAGGCCAGCCTGGGCTACATAGTGAGACACTGTGTCAGAAAACCAAAGACAAACAGAAACAGAACAAAACAAAGCAAAAACAAAAACAGTTGCAGTATTCATTAATTCTGTGGTTGCTTTATTGGAGTGTGAGGAATAAACAACTATTGAATAAGACCTAATAGAGGGTTTAATTTGTGTTTCATTGGTAGTTGCTTTTATTAGATAGCATAGTAAAAGTTTCTTAATGCTCATAAACAAAACTTGAAAGTCTTTTCAGCCCTGGTTTTGTCTTAGCATTTACATTTTGATTTGTTCTTTATTCTTTGAAGAAAAGAAGTCCAAGTGTAAAATCTTAGTATTAGATTATCTTCTAATATTGAAGAAAGTTTTTAACTCACTGTGACTGTAGACATCTTTCCTACGCTTTCTGTAATACATCCTGCTGCCAGGCACTTGCTGCACTTATAATTCTGCGGTTCAAGAGTCATCTCAAGGGCTCCTGGTAGGGAAACAGCAGAGCTTGGCTGGGCCTGGAACACAGGTTTTCTCACTGCTCACTCTAGTACTCCTCTTGCCTTACTGTACTGCCTTCTATAAGGCCTCTGCTTCCTTCGTAGTTTTTGTTACTGTTTTTCCTAGTGTTAGGGATGAACTGCTTTAAGTGTGAGACAGTCTCTGTAAATTGTCTAGCTGGCCTCACACTTCTGATCCTCCTGCTTCAACCTCCCAGAACGGTCAGATTACACTCCAGGCAGTGGGATTACTGCCTGGTTCTCTTGAGCTTTTAAAAATGAATAATCCTACTTGTTTGGACACCACACACAATGAGTGATGGGATAATGATGAGAATATATCTTTCTCTTATTCTTTGTATAGCAGAATTCTGAACAGGTTTGAATTGAGTATGGCTTTAGAGATAGTTGTCACTATTATGTATGAGAAATTATTCTTTTATTTAGAAAGTTAGTAGGAATAAGACGACTACATGAAAGAGACTTAATTTTTTTTTTCTTCTAGTACCAGGAATCGAACTCAGGATCCTGGGCTTGCCAGGCAGGCGGCACACCAATCAACTATATCCTTAGCTCAAGAAACTTAATGTTATTATTTTATTTTTTTATGTATTTAGTTCAGGGTCTACTACAGGGTCCCACTGATTGGACTCAAAGTGATCCTTCTGTTTTTAGCCTCCCAAGTGCTGGGATTACAGGTGCGTGCCACCATGCCCAGTCTCAGTCTCTGTCTCAGCTTGTTCCTTGGGTGGGGCTGGCACACCTCACCAGGGGATTGAACCCTGGTCCCTGTGCTTTAATCCACTGAGCTATCTGGCTAGCCCTTTTATTACTATAATTATTATTATTGCTTTTTGAGATAGGGTCACACTGTGCAGTTCAGGCTAGCCTCGAGCTTACTTCGTAGCCATGTTTGCCTTGAACTCAAAACGATCCTCATGCCTTAGCCTCCTGAGTGTGGAATTAAGTGGTACGCACCACCACGCCTGGCTTAAGA